GGAATGAGGAGGAATTCCACAGCACATGTAGCAATACACATGGTATTCCCTTTAAGGATTACTGGCATATGTGTATTTCTCTTCTCCCTCTCCTCTCCTTTCTCTTCTCCCCACCCCCTACACAGTAGACTAGCCTTTATATCCTAGCCTCCTGCACAATACTAGTATTTAGTAAATGTTTAAAACAAACATTTGTTGGATTGAATTGAACTGACAGGCAGGAATCTGGGCCTTTGAAATTTTTGTCTGTTAAACCCCCTTTTCAGGCCACAGTGATAATAATCTTTTCTCACAATCTGTTTTGGGCATTAATTAGCTTATCACAGAAATAATGACTCAGAAGAGGTGAGGGGGAGAAATGGGCACACTACACAAAAGTAAAAAAAAACCCCACCATCTTTTTATGTTTCCTTGATCCGCTATGGTACTTAATGTTTAAAATAGCTCAATAACTAGGACTCCCCAGCAGCATGGTGTAATAAAAAAAAAAATTACACCATGGATTTGAAGCCCAGCTCTGCTACCTAGATAGCAACAGAAACATAAAAAGTCTTTATTACAACTCCTAGTCCCACTAATAGATTGGGTCCCTGAGAATATATCTCTTCCTTAAATGTTCTAGGACAGAGGTGTCACTGGGCGAGAGCTGCATGCGGCCCACATTTCCTACTGTTGCTGAAATAAGATTAAAATGTAATTAGGAATTTAATGTTTTAATTAATTAATTGTAAATAATTTAATAAAATACATAAAACATAATAAAGTATAGATTATTACATTTTAAAACTAGGTCACAATATGTGGCTGTAGGTATCCTTATGTAGGGATTAGTGCCTCTTCTGCAACATTAATTACTTGTGATTAGTGCCCCAATATCAGTATAAATCTACCCTAACCAAGGTATATTTTCCCCTCTATCACCATGGTCCCTGGGGAGACTGGGCTCAAACTTAAAGCAACTGCTGCAAATATTCCTCTACCTACCAAGTTAATTTCCAGGTATGGCATGGCTGATGCTGTTCCCTTAATCTCTCAGCTGCCAGGTCAATCCATTTCTGGGCTAGGCTGAGCTGGCATTAGCTTCTGGCTAATTCTGTTCTTTTCCTACCTAAGCTCATGAAGTAGTTCCATCTCCAGTCTTCCTTCACCTAAGAATAGGAAAGAATAGACACAGCAGAGACAGAAGCAACATATATTCCAAGATATATTGTACCTGGGCAGGCAGGCCCCTCAATGGCAACCAGGGAAGAGAGGGATTGAATTGTTAGTTAGTGCTTTAGTATGCACACTCATTTCTGGTTCAGTAGCCAATAAAAAGGTTTTCCATGATGATGCTGTAAGTGAAGGTCACAGAATATTTGAATGTGCTCTAAAGCAGAGAATATGGCCTCTCCATTCTCTGTTGCCCCTCACTTTCAGAGGCAGACCAAATGTCAAAGGGTCAAATTTGAGGACTTAGAGGGCCACATGTGGCCTGGGGACCGCAGGTTCCCCACCTGCAAGACTATAGTTCTTGGTATGCCATTCACCAAACATGACATTGTTACTGGGGCAGCCAAATGCATTAATTGTCAGCACACTTGGTTTGGCTTAAGCCCCAAGTCTGGGGGAAAAAAATTCCCTGAATGAACAAGAACAAAGCATTTGTAGAAGCCTTTTATCCAAGGAATTAAAATGCAGCTGGGATGGATGCCTCCAGGATGGGACAGATGTCTTCAGTGTACTTTGGACCAAGAACTGGGAGTTAGTCCTAAAGGAAAGGGGTGTGTAAACAACTCAAGCCAGGGAGGGGGAAGAAAATCAGAGAGGACAGATTAGGATTGCTGGTTGGTGCTTAGCACTACCACTATTGCTACTTTTTTGGGTGGGGAAGGGTGATGAGATGCTAGGAAAACACTGTAGCTCAAGCCAAAGCAGAATGGTGGTGACTGTCTTTGATTATGAGGACAAATCTCCTGAAATGCCTACTTCCCTGTCCTTATTCCAAATGCCTCCTTGCCTAAAACCCTGCAGCCTGCTCACCCTGAAATATTTCTCCCCAAGGCCTGTCATCCTTCTCTCATTGGCAAGTTTCTCCTGAAGGTCCTATTTTGTGATGGTTACCAGGCCAGCCTGCCTTCATTCTCCTCTCTAACCGGTTCTTGATTTTCTGGACTTCAAACGCTGCCCTCGTGCCAAGTACCTCTCCTTCCCCTCTCCCATAGCCCCCCTTCAGCTTTCTTTAGTGTGTGGCTTTCCCTCTTTAGAACATAAACTCCTGTAGGATAGGGACTTTTCTTTTCGCTTGCATTTACGTCCCTAGCATTTAAACACAACGCCTGGAACATAGTAAGTGCTTAATAAATGTTTATTTCCTTCCTTTATCTCCGTTTAGCTCTTGTCCTGAGTCTATATCTTATTTCCCACTTCTTTGGGAGTTTGCTTTTTGTATTTGTCATGTGTAATCAGAAGAAAATCATTTCTCTATTATTCACTCTGTGTGTCCTGAATAACATGCTATGGTTGCCTAAGAGGGGAGAGGAGGGAAGAGGGAGACAGAGACAGAGAGAGTGATTCTTTTTTTAATTGTTGGGATTTTTCCAAGCTTGGGGGCTCAATTAGAACTAAATATATTTTACTGATACATGTCAATAGATTTTTTCCCCAAAGCAGAGAAAAAAAGATGAATATAGACTCTTAAGACACAAAAAGGAGTCAATACCAGGATAGGCTAGGTAAATTAAAGGGGAAGGAAGCACCTCTGAAGCAATGGCCTTGGGCTATTCCCTTGCTGGCAGTGTCAAGAAAACACCACCCTCAGAACAAGGGATTAGAGACCTACAGAGAAAAAGGCCTTAATGGAAGAGCTGAAAAGAGTGGTTCCATCCACTTAAAGGTGGGAGCTTGGAAAGAAGTAGTAGCTAAATCGTATTATTGAAAACTTCTTCATTCTCTTCCTACTCCTCCTTCTCTGATTAAGCTCTTATAGGGGGCCAAGCTCTGTACAAAGGTCTGAGAATCAAATAAAAGCAAGTCTTCAAAGAGCTTACATTTTTAATAGTGAGAGTGGTGGCTAGGAGGCAGCTAGCTGTTACTGGGCCTAGAATTGAGTTCAAATTGGACCTCAGACACTAGCTGTGTGACTTTGGCAAGTTGCCTCAGTTTTCTCGATTGTAAAAAGGGGATAACAGCACCTTACAGGGTTGTTGTGAAGATCAAATGGGATATTTGTAAAGAGCCTGGTACACATCAGGCACCATATGAATGCTATTATTATTATTAGGAAAGAGTGTTTTGATATCAGAAGTAGTGGAAATGCTGAGTGAAGTAACAAAGGAACTCCCTTTCCAGAGGCAACGTAAGTATGATTTGATTACAGCTCTTAGAGCAATGACCAGGGTCAAGGTGAGTCCCAGCAAGTTCTGAGCTGGGGAATACAATTATAAGCAAATAGAAAGTCAGTTCCTGCCTTTAAGTAGTTAACATTTTAATGGGGGAAGACTACACATAAAAGGTAGCTAATACCCTCTTTCCTCCCCTTATGGTGGAAAGATGTTCTGGAGTTAGAAGAGCCCAAGTGGCTGAGGAAGTTCCAAGGTGAGAAGGCATGGGGGTCACAGTCCACAGGCAGGATGTCCAACTTGGGCCCTTCTGTACTAGAACATCAAAAGGCTTGCACATGAAAAGTAAAGCTGTACATCAGAGATCTCAAGTTCCATATATAATCCTTTTTTTCCCCCTGTTCTATTATGTACAAACTTTGAAAAAACAAATGTTCATTCTATTTGTTCATTTATTAAATTCAGAATAAAATAAAAAATCCCTATCTTTGTTACTTCTGGTGCATTTTCTGAACTTCACTGGCGTGTGTATGTGTGTGTGCACGAGCGCGCTGGGGTGGGGGGTGGGTATCTCGTTTCCTACCAGTATTAACAGGCTGCCATCTTCCCACGTTGGGCGTTACCACATACTAGAAATGGATTCAGTGAATGGGCTGACACATTTTACTGGCAGAGTGACCAGAATTAGATACAAGAAAAGCATTATTTCCAATTCATTCATCCACCCACCCACCCACCATTCAGGGTCGGTTAAATCTGAGCACTAGCAACGGGTGCAAGACCTCCTTTCCTGCAAAGTCTCCAGGACACCTGGCCCCAGTTCAGTTCTGAGAAAGCCCGGGAGCTCACACGGGGCCGGGGGAGTCTGGAAGCCTGCCCCTTCTTGGCACCGCCCTACTGGCCCCCCACAGATCTCCAGACGTCGGAAGGGAGATTTTCGCGGGATGACAAGGGGCGGGGGACGGGATACAGGAGACTCCTCGAAGACCCGGCAGGGTCGCGTAGTCCGGGTCAGCACGCTCTCCAGGGGTCTCTGCGGCGGGTGGGGAGGATACTCCCCTCCCCTTCTCTTGTTAGTCCCCGCCCCCTGCGGTATTCCAGGCTCCGCCCTTCTCCGAGGGCGCGCGGACTCCGAGCCAACCACCGCCCAGCTCCCAGCCAGCCGCTACAGGCCTCTGGGGGGCGGCGCGTGGCACTGCGGCAGCCGCGGGACGGTCTCGTGCTCCACCGCGTCGCGAAGAGCACGTTTCTCTTCTGCTGCGGAGGCCTCCTACGCATGCGCGTTGCTCCCCTCCCGCTGCCGCCACCTCCCTAGCCACCAGCTGCCCTGGTTACCGTTGGTGTCCCGGTACTCCCCTCTCCTAGCCCCGCGACACCACTTAGCTGGGGCGGAGCCGTTCGCCCCTGTCACGAGAGGGGGGAGGAGGGAGCCGCTGTGGGGCTCGCGCCTGGTCACTTGCTTTCTCGTTCGTCCGCTCGCCCCCAGGCTCGGGCTCGCCGGCTGGGCTGGCCTGAGCCAGGCGCGCGGGCCGGCTGACTGGAGAAGGGAGGAGCGCCCGGGTGGGGCGCGCGCGGATAAAAATGGCGAAATGGCGTTAGGCGGCATGGAGGCAAGAGCGACGGGGCGCCGAGGTGGGGCCGGGTACACCCAGGCCTTGTGACCCCACCCCGGGCATCGTGCTGTTCTCTGTGGCCAACTGGACCTGGCGAGCTGATTCTGACACCTGGTGGGGGAGAAGGACGCTCTCCGCGGGGTACCGCGGGGCCTGGTGGGAGCTGGCGGCAATGGATGAGCAGAGCGTGGAGGTGAGAGCAGAGGGGCGACGTCACTGCCCACGGGAGGGAAGCGGCAAAGAGGGGAGGGGGGCTTCTTTATCCTGAGCCTTTCACCTGGGCAGCTCCAACCCCCCCCCAGCCTTTGCCGAGGGGGGCGTGTCGGGCTCTCTTCGCTTCCCAGCGCCACGCCCCCCTTCTAGTGCCGCAGTCAGTTGGATGCGCATATGGTACTTCTTTCCCAGAGGTGCCTTTGTAAAATAATCCCTGCCCAGACATGGAAATTGGGTGAATTGATGTCCTTGTTGCCCGCACCTTGTGCACCCGGTTCCTATAGGTGCTCCAATTCACCTTTAGTGAACCGGCATGCCTTTTTCTTTTTTTGCCTGGTAAAAATTTCACAATCTACCTACCCATAAGTGATGGTTAAACAGGTGCAGAAATTTGAACTCAAAGGTGCCCAATTAGCCAGAGGCAAAGGAAACAAGAATCTGAGGTTAGCCTCATTTCCTGTGTTACTTCTTTCTTTGGGGGAAAAAAATGACCAAAAAGATAATTTATTTTTACAGATATTGCCGAAAAGGGCGGGGTCTTACTCTAGAATTTGTCCTAAAGTACCTTGAGCAACAGAATGCTGTTGAGGAAAATGTATTTCGAGAACAACGATCCTACCTATGCTCTTATTTACTTGGACGTACTTATACACTTATTGATATGCTTACTTTGATTCCTCTTCGTGTAATTGCCATTGCAGTCATACCATCCTGTTAGCTGTTCTCCATACATTAACGTTACAGTTATGTTATATAGCTGTTCCCTATACACATTCCATTATGTTATATTTCTACTACCCTTCCTGCCTCAGGAGTTCCCATACTTTTTGGATTGGATCCTCATATCCCTTGGCTTTTAGTAAGCTTTCCAGTACCCTTTTATTCAGTAGGAAAGGAAGTAAATTCTAGAGTTTACTAAATATGTGCACATAAGAAATGAAGTAGAAATTAGTTTTTTTTATAAAGGAAGCTTTATTTGGTACATAGCCTTTTTAGTATTATAAAGGTTTTTTTTTTCATCAAATGTTTTGTCAGGACATATTAAGACAAATTAGCAGGACCTTTCATTCTACTTTTTGTCAACAGTTTTATTGGTATAATTTTTGAAAGAGATGTCTGCATGCCATATCCAGCTTGCATTTTTTTTTTCTTTAGATTTAATTGAGAACAGGACTGAGAATCCTGATTCAGAAAGACATTAAAGCTTTGTGAACACATAAGAATGGCTTATGATTCTCCAAAGGTATACCCCAAATTTTGTAACTTTATTGATTGGAAATCAATTTGCAACCCCCAGTTATTGTCGAGATGAATTGGCTCATCTTTCACTGGGATGTTGATATTTTTTTTCTAGCTCAAAATGAAAAGCTTCATATTCCAAACGTCATTTATTTGATTTTGGTCCATAGAAATTATTCCTTATCTTATCTCTTTCAAAATTTTAAAATACTTCTGCCTTTTCTACTCTGTCCCTACCTCTTCACCATTCATTTCCCTTCAATCTACTCATTTTTTTCCCTAATACTATTACTTTTGAAATATTTCAATAGACTATTATATTTATTTACCAGATATTCCCCCACCTCCTTGACAAGGTTCTCCTACTTCCTGGGGGAACATTTTCACCAGGCTGGGAACCCCTGCCCTAATGGAATATAAACTCCTTGAGGCTAGGGTCTTTTTCTTTTTCTTTTGGTTCTTATGGAATCTCCAGTGTTTAGCACACTGCCGTGCATGTAGTAGATGCTTAATATTTGTTGAATTGTTCAACTGGTATCTCTCACAAAATACATTTAGAACTCCCAATAAGATATTATGAGTAAGGCATTTATTATTGATTGAGTTGCCTAATTTAGTGGAAACTCTGTATCATGGTTGTAATTATTTTCATAGAGTATTGCTGAGGTTTTCCGATGTTTCATTTGTATGGAGAAGTTGCGTGATGCACGTCTATGTCCACATTGCTCCAAGCTTTGTTGTTTCAGCTGCATTCGGGTAAGTCTATTCTTCTTGCTTATGAGTAAGTATGTCGGGTCATGTACTTAGAGAGACTTCTGACAGACTGCGGAGATGGACTTTCCATTTTTCTGTTCTGTGTCTATTGCAGTTCTTTTAAAATGTGATAATTTTATTATTGTCAGAGAAATTAATGGGAAAGGCTTGGATTGAATTTTTACCTTGTGCGTCATTGACATTATTCTCTAAGTAAATGCTTATCTCAGAATGTCTGAGGGTGATGTGAAACATAGTAACATAATGGTTATGCTTTGAGGCTTGTGTTAATGACTTTTTTTCTCATCCTTAAACTTTCATTTATCTTAGACCTTTATCTACCTACTCCTTTACTGTGAGCGCTTTGCAAAAGCCATCTCTTTTTTGTCATCACCATCCTCCTCCTCCTCCACTTTTTTCATTTTGTGGTGTGGTGGAAGGGGCGCTATACTGGGACTTGGAATCTAAGTCCTGCCTCTGCTGGCAAGTTACTTCAGCTTTCTTGATGTTTACATCAGCTTCCCTATCTCTCAAATGAAGGGGTTAGACCAGATTATCTCCAAGATTCCTCTTATCTTTGTAGTTGAGTTTATCCTACTCTCCTTAACCTGTTGAGTCTGATTTCCATTTACAGCTTTGAATCGAAATTTATAGTGTCCTCCATAACCACCTCACTAGGAGTTTCAAAGGTGCATTTCTTAGCTCTTGTGCATTACCTTTTCTTTTCTTTTTTTTTTTTTTTTTGCTAGGCAGCGGGGTTAAGTGACTTGCCCCCGGTCATACAGCTAGTAAGTGTTATGTGTCTGAGGCCGGATTTGAACTCAGGTACTCCTGAATTCAGGGCTGGTGCTCTATCCAGTGTGCCACCTAGCTGCCCTCCATTACCTTGTACCTAACTGCAGTAGCATAACACTTCCTCTTTGTGCCCATCTTGACAATATCTGACTATCTTAACCCTTTTGGAAGCTCTACCTCTTCCTCCGTGAAAAATCTTCAGGGTTACCTCTAGGATTCCTTTCTTTCCTCTATATAATTCATTCTTTTTTGGATATTTTCATCTTTTAGGGCCTTCACTACCATTTTCTTTGTTTGTATTCACATCTCTCTTTTTTTTTTTTTGCTTTTTGGTGAGGCAATTGGGGTTAAGTGACTTGCCCAGGGTCACACAGCTAGTAAGTGTTAAGTGTCTGAGGCTGGATTTGAACTCAGTTCCTTCTGACTCCAAGGCCAGAGCTCTATTCACTGCGCCACCTAGCTGTCCCTGTATTCACATCTCTTACTGACACTATGAAAAAGATACCCACTGTTAATAGGGTGTATGCTTTTGGTTTTTGGATTTGTCATGAATGAAAGAAAAAGCATTTCTTAAGTGCTTAATGCCATACTTTGGTACTAAAGTTAAAAATACAAAAGTGAGATGGCTTCTGCCTTCAAGAAGCTTGTTGTAAAAGAGGGAGACAGTATATTTAAGGGTATAGCAGTCAAGGAGAGGGAGTTTTGGTTGGAGGAGATTATCTTGGAGCATTTGATTGTCACACTCTTTTCAAGAACAGTGTCAGTGTTGATTTGATTACTGTTCCTAGAGCAAGAGATGGAAAGCAAGATAGGGTGGGAATGTCATATAGTAACATGACTGATGGCCGGTTGTTCTGGTTGGGTAGATGTAAAGCATGGTCTAAGGCTAGCTAGATTAAAATTTAAAAAAAATTTATTATTATCAATTGTTTTTACATTATCTAAATTTCTCCTAGCATCCTTCCCCATCTGTCTTCTCTTTTCTCAGAAGAGCTATCGCATATAACAAAATATTTTTAAGAGAAAAAAATTAGCACAACTAGTAAACACATTGAAAAAGTCTGAAAATATATTCAGTGTTCTGTACTTGTGAACTTCCCTGATCTCCCCTTACCCTTAATTCTAGTACCTTTCCTCTGAGATTATTTCCATTTTTATCCTCTACATATCTTGTTTGTACATAGTTGTTTGCATGTTGTCTTCCTGTTAGAGAGCAAGGATTGTTTTGGCCTTTGTTTAGCTCAGTGCTTAATAAATGCTTCTTTAGGGGAAGCTAGATGGCTCAGTGGATAGAGCTCCAGCCTTGGAGTCAGGAGGACCTGAGTTCAAATTTGGCCTCGGACTCATGACACTTAATAGCTGTGTGACTCTGGGCAAGTCACTTAACCCCGATTGCCTCATCAAAAAGGGAAAAAAATATAAATGCTTCTTTATTTGACTTTACCCTGACCTCTTCAAAGGAATGGGGTGGGGATGTGTTTTCTTGTATCTCTTCTGTGGGGTTATGCAGTTCTGCAACATTGACTTTCAGTGGTTTTGTGCTGGTGGTTCTTTACATTTATATTGTTGTGGTCATGTGAATATATATGTATATACACATATATATCTATTTGGCTCTGCTTACTTTGCATCAGTTCATGTAAGTCTTTTCATGCTTTTCTGTAGTCATTGCATTCATCTTTTCTTACAGCATAGTATCCATTACATTGCATACCACAATTCCCCAAATAGTAGGTTGTCAACTTTGCTGCCATTTCTTTGCCATCACAAAAGTACTGCTATAAATATTTTGGTATACATGGGGGAAATTCTTACAGTATATGCCTAATACTATAATGGAATCTTTGTGTCAAAGATATGGAAAAATATGTTCTCTTATAGTTTTCTTAATTCACAGCTCCACCAAAAATGCACTAGTATGCCTGTTTTCCCACAACCATTCCAACATTGAATATTCTTTTGTCATTTTTGCCAGTTTCTTAGGTATGAAGTGAAATCTCAGCATTATTTTGATTTGCATTCATCTTATTACTAGTGATTTGAATCATTCTTTCATTGGTTCTTAATTTTCACTTCTTTTGAGAACTGTTTGTTCATATCCCTTGACTATATTCCATTCCAAATAATTCATCCACTCACCCTTATAAAGAAGATTTCAAGAAGAGGTAAAAGGTAGTTCAATAGAACCAACCAACACATTGACTACTTCTTTTTTTTTTCCATATTGGCTACTTCTGATGATTGATGATGTGTGTAGTATTCTTTAATTATATTCTTTTACCTCTTCCATGAAGGGAAGGAGGTGAATTTTTTCAAGTGCTTGAAGGATTAGATTCAGCTCTTATAATTCTGTGTCTAGTTTTGTTTGATAGTTCTTTCCATTATATTGTGGTTGTTACATATATTATCTTCCTGTTGCTCCTGAACCAAGGTGGAGAGAAATCATGCAGTCGTTTGGACTGGGTGCACTACAAATGTGCATTACATAACCTCAATTGGGCCTTCACTGCTGCTAGGCAGTTCTTTTACACTTCCTTAATTAACTCACTACCCCACTCACCACAGTGGCTCTTTCAAACATTTTTATTTCTCTAATGACTCCATCTCTTCCCACATTCTGAGCTGAGAACCTTGCCTCATGTTTTACTGAAAAAATTTAGGCCATTCACTGAGAGCTACCTCTTTATCTCTTCTCATCTCACATCACCCAGATATCTTCTGTCACTGTCTCCTCCTTCACCCCTGTCTCAGATGAAGAAGTGGCCATTCTCCTTGTCAAGGCAAGCCCTTCTGACTTCAGAAGCAATCCATTCCATGTAGTCTCCTTCGGCAAATTGCCCTGGCTCTTGTCCTTATTCTTATTTATCTTTAATCTCTCCCTGTCTACTCACTACAAACATGCATATGTTTCCCCCATCCTCAAAAAAAACCCCCTTATTTGATCCTTTCATCCTTGATGGCATATTGTTCCATATCTCTCCTTTTTGTGGCTAAACACCTTGAGAAGTCTGCCTTCTGTAGGTACCCCCACTTTCTTTCTTCTTTTCATCTCTCTGTAGTCGATATTATAATTCAACTAAAACTGCTCTCCCTAATGTTACTAATGATCTCTTAATTGCTAAATCCAATGACCTTTTCTCAGTCTTCATCCTTATTGATTTCTCTATTTAGTCTTTGACAGTTGTTCACCCACCTCTCTTTGCTGGTCTTCTCTCTAGGTTTTTGGGACATTATTCTGTCCTGGTTCTCCTCCTGCCTTTCGACAGTCACTTCTTGGTCTCTTTTGCTTTTTCTTTATCCAAGTCAGGCCCATTAACTATGGGTGTCCAGTGGGGCTCTGTCCTGGGCCCTCTACTCCATCAATACTGTTTTACTTGTTGATCTCATCAGCTCCCATGGATTCAATTATTAACTCTTTGTTGATGATTCTCAAGTCTGCTTATCAAGCCCTAACCTCTCTATTGATCTCCGTTCTTGAATTTCCAACTACCTCTTAGACATCTTGAACTGGATGGTATATAGGCATGTTAAACTCCACGTGTCCAAAACTGAACTCGTTATCTTTTCCCTCAAACCTTCTCCACTTTCAAACTTTACTATTATTGTAGTGGGCAAAATCATTCTTCTCCAGTTCCTCCAGCTTGCAATCTAAGTGTCATCTTCAACTCCTCACTCTTACCCCCATATCCTGTCTGTTGCCAAGGCCTGTCTATTTCATCTTTGCAACATCTTTCAAATGCACACCCTTTTCTCTACTGACACTGCCGCTACCATGTTGTAGGCCCTTAGATCCTCATTCCTGGACATTTATATTAGACAGTTCCTGGATCTGCCTGCCACAAGTTGTTGTGTACTCCAGTCCATCTTCTGTTCAGTTGCCAGAGTGATTTTCCTAAAGCGTAGTCTCTGCCATTGTTCTACCATGCCTTCCCCCATATCCCCAGCTCCCTCACTCAATAAACTGCAGTGGTTCCCTATCACCTTCATAATTAAAGATGAAAATTCTCTGGTGTTCAAAGCCTTACATAGCCTCCCCCTTCCTCACTCCACTTTTCTAGTCTTCTTATGCCTTACCACATACTCTTTGATTCAGTGACACTTGCCTCTTAACTGTTCGTTGAACAAGAGATTTCCATCTTTTAGCTCCAGACATTTTCACTGGCATTTCCTTATGTCTGGAATGCTCTCCCTCCTCATCTCTGTCTCCTGGCTTCCTTCACATCCTAGCCAAATCTCATCATCTACAAGAAGCCTTTCCTAATCCCCCTTAATTTTAATATCCTCCTTCTTTTGATTATTTCCTATTCATCCGGGATATACCTTGCTTATAAACTGTCCTGTATATAGCTTGTATGTATTTGTTTGCCTGTTATCTTTCCTATTAGATTGTGAGCTCCTTGAAGGCAGGGGCTGCCATAGGCCATTCTTTGTATCTGCAGTGCTTAGCACCTCATCTGGCATATAGTAGATGCTTAAAAAATGTTTATTGACTGACTGCTTTTCTGTTAATTCAGTTCAGTTCTAGACCAAGATCATTGTCCAGCTGTAGTGTCTTTCCAGCATACAGTAGACTGTCATAATGCCTGTCGTAATTTGTGCAGTGTAGTTCATCGACTGGGTTTTTCCTGTATGATTTATTAAGCCAGTTTCTTTTTAATGGCCATGAATCTCATCATATTCAGTAATATTCTGGAGCCCTGTAGTGTTCTGAGACTCGATGCCATGAGTATAGTGTCATCTCCAAATGAGCACCTGTTGACCCTAACCATCTATAGGGAATCCCTAACCTGTTTAGACTCTGCACAGGACATCTTCCATGAGAGTGGTAAATAACTTCAGCAAGGAAATGTCCCCTCTGTTTTAGTCTCATTTGAAAGTGATAGTCATAGAATCTTTGGACATAGTTTTCCTTATGGTTGCATATATCAGTGAATCTTGCGTGAGCTTATGCATGGGACAGTTCAGTGGACAGTCAATAAACATTTATTCAGTGGTTGTTTTGTGCCAGGTACTGTGTTAAGTGCTGAGGATATAAGAAGGTGAAAGACAGTCCTTGTTCTCAAGGAGCTCACAGTCTAATGGGGGAGGACAGCATGCAGACAGCTGTGTACCCATAAGCTATGTACAGGAAGCAAATTGGAAATAATCAACAGGGAAAACATTAGAATTAAGGAGGGTTAGGAAATACCTCCTGTAGAAGGGATTTTACCTGAGATTTGAAGGAAGCCAGGAGACAAAGATGAGGGTGAGAATTGCAGTTATGGAGGACAGCCAGTGAATAGAGGTCTGAAGGTGGAGTATCTTGTTTGAGGAACAGTAAGGAGGCCAGTGTCACTGAATTGAAGGGTATGGGGATTGGGAAGGAGAGGAATGTGTAAGGTATAAGAATACTGGAAAAGTAGGTGGGTAATAGAGCACTGGACTTGGAGTCAGGAAGACCTAAGTTCACATTCAGCCTAAAAAAAAAAGGTCACCTAACCTCTTTTTGCTTCAGTTTACTTAACTGTGAAATGGAGATAATAATAGCCCCTATATCCCAGGGTGGTCGTGAGGATAAAATGAAATAACATTTGTAAAGCTCTTTGCAAACCTTAAGTGCTCTATGTATTGTTATTGTAACATTATTGTTACTATTATTTGATATATGACTTAGAAGCTGTTTTGCTCTGTTGACTTAATTCTTTTTTGTAAATGGTAAACTCAGCAGGATCTTTTATTTTCTAGTGATATGGACAAGAGACTTGAACTTCTCTTTTCAGTGATTTTCTGCAGACCCCCAAAGTAACCCTAATTCATTTGGTAAAGGGAGTATTTACTGATGTCACAGATGATCAGGAATAATCACTGTGGAAACACTAGTAAATTTCTTAAATTCAGTATTTATCAAGTATTCGCTCACTTTAGCCATTTCTGGGCTCCTGGTCTTATTGTATAACTTTTATTTTTGTTAAATTTCCTAAAAGGTAGTGAAAATTAAGTCAGTGCCTACTTTGACCTATTCTTTTCTAGATGAGTGTTTTCTTATAGTGTAATTTAGAATCAAGTCATCAATAATTTTTGCTTTCTGTTTTAGTTACAGTCCTATCATTAATATGTGGATGATCTACACATAAGTCACTTGCAGATGCTGTCTAGCCTGTGTTGGGGCTATTTGCCTCCTCCTACTCTGAGTGGTTTCTTTTTATACCAGTTCCTTGTCCTGCCTCTCTTTCTGATATAGTTTAGTTCTGGGCTAGTATTGTTCCTTCTATCTCAGGCAATGGAAACAATTGAGTGCTTGTTTTACCTGCCTTGTGGAGAATAGAGTTTGCTATTTGAAAATATTTTTTATGGAAACTTTGTGCAATTTGGACCTGGTAAGAGAGAAGGACTTAACCAACAGACTTATATATAAATCATGAAACTTAATTTTAATACTTTTAAAATATTGGTGTTTCTGGAACTGAAAATCTTTTTTCCCCTCTTGCCTCCTAAGCGTTGGCTGACAGAACAAAGAGCTCAATGTCCTCACTGTCGGTAAGTTTTTTCATATAATTTTTGTGAATATGCTAGCATTAAGGGAGTGGGGTAAGAGCACATATTATAACCTGTGTAGGAGAATTTTATTCATAACATGCATCATTCACTTCACAAGAATAGTGTCTCCACATTACCAATTGACTGTTAGACATTTCAAATTGGATGTCCTGTAGACATCTTAAATTCAGTGTGTCTAAAACTGAATTAATTATCTTTTCCCTGAAACCCTTTCCTCTTCTTGACTTCACTGTTTTTGTTGAAGATACCACCATCCCTTTCAGTGTCTTAGGTTCATGATATCAGTATTACCCTGGACCTTCATTCCCTCTCACCTCATGTATTTCATTTAATCGGTTGCCAAATCTTGTTATTTCTACCTTTGTGGAATTCTTTACTCACAGCTACTACCTTAGTGTAAACCTTCATGACTTCTTGGCTAGATTATTGCAATAGCCTCTGAACTGTCTCAGCTCTTTTCCTGTATTCTATACACTGTTGTCAAAGTAGTTTTTCTTAAGCCCAGATCCGACCATGACTTCCCTCCTCAACTAACCCCTGTGGCTTCTTATTGCCTCTAGGATCAAATATAGTTGCTTCTGTTTAGCTTTTAAATCTAGTGTAGGCACAGTTTGGCCTTAAACTATCTTTCCAACCTCACTGGACCTCACTGGACTTTCTGTACTCTGCAATCTAGCCAAATGGGCTCTCTCTGTTTCTTATACATGACATTCCATCCCTGTGCCTTTGTAGTAGCCTTTCTTGGTCCAGTTAGCTGCCAAGGCCCATTCCCACTCTACCTTGTATTGGACAACTTTGTACATATAGTTGTATTTAATAACTTTATATATGCATTTATTATTTCTCTCATCCCCTACATTAGAATGTAAGGTCATTGTGAGTAGGGATTGTGTCAGCAATTTATATTTGCATCCCCAGCTCCTAGCACCTACTAAATGATTGATTGACAGTGAAAGAAACAACCTCTGTCTCCCCTCTGCCCTGAAGAATACATAACTAACTTTTCTGCTTAAAAGTCACTCATGAGATTTGGTCTTTTTGCCCTTTTTTTACTTTTAGGAATTTTGTTGTGTACCTTCTCAGGCTAGACTTTTAGTACTAGTTCATTCAGTAAAAATAAGCATAATTCACTGTTTTCATGTTATAATTATTGTTGTAAGTGAATAACTACATGAAAGAGGTAACGGATGTTTATTTATATGCTGTTTTAAATGCTAAAGTCCTGAGTTTCTGAAGTAGACTATAATTCAACCTTTTTCAGTGCTCCCCTCCAGCTCCGAGAACTGGTAAACTGTCGTTGGGCAGAAGAGGTTACCCAACAGCTTGACACCCTTCAACTTTGCAGTCTCACCAAACATGAAGAAAATGAAAAGGACAAGTATGTAAAATCATTTTGGGGGAAAATTTTGTTTTTGTTTTATTATTAGCTTAATTATTAATAAACACGAACATTTCAGTATACAAAGAATAAAAAAGAGGATTGCATATGAGTTCTCTGTTAAGTACAGGTTTTTAAGTGTATAGAATTTTCTATTTTAGTGACAACATTGCCTGAGCTTTTTTTTTGTTTTTGTATATACTTTAAAATATTTTATTGATATTCCTTTTTTTAAATCTATCACTACCTATTTATGTTACCTGCATTCTTGCAAATAAATATCAAAACAATTCATATTGTCAGTGTCTGAAAGATATTTCTCATTCTGTACTTCTAGTTTGTCACTATTCTGCCAAGAGGTCAGTAGCATGTTTAATCATCAGCCTTCTGAAGTCATGGTTGCTTACTGTAGTGATCAGAAAATAAACCATTTTCAATTACTGTAATGAGAGGAAACTCCCAGAAGTTTATTTTTAATCCTATTTTGTTAGTGATTCTTAGATTATATTACCAAGTGTCTAATCTCTTTAAAGACTACTCTAATTGCTAACTCTTTTTGTTGGTTGTTAACTTTGACCTATTCCCACTCTTAGTACAAATGTTGGTAGTATCACAGCACTTTAATTTTAGAGGACTTTGTATTTGTATAGAGAGGTAACTTGGTGAATGGCTAGAGGATTGGTCTTAGATTGAGACTGACCTGGGTTCAAGTCCCATTTCTGACACATACTCCAGGGCAGTTTTCTGTAGAGCATCTAAGGTATAGCACAGGGATAGATCTGCAGTGGTAAAGAGAGTTTCCAAACTGGCAGTTCCCTGGTGCTACTTTGAGAAATATTGATGGCCAGGACAGTGTTTGTGATCTCTTCTTTTTTTACTTTTTTTTTTTTTTTTTGCTGGGCAGTGGGGTTAAGTGACTTGCCCAGGGTCACACAGCTAGTAAGTGTTATGTGTCTGAGGCTGGATTTGAACTCAGGTCCTCCTGAATCCAGGGCCTGTGCTCTATCCACTGCACCACCTAGCTGCCCCCTTTTCATTTTTTTAGATGGAGATCCTTTGACATGGACACGTTACAGGAGGGCAGGTGTGTTTTTGTTTTTGCTTGCAGGGGAGTCCTGGAAAATTAGAGAACTTGGGTTCTTGAAAATTCTTTAAAGCTTTTACAAATTCATGAATTCTTGTAGAACACTAATCACAGCTAACATTTCTATAGTGCTTTAAGGTTCGTAAAACACCTTACATGGATGATCTTATATGGCCTTGTGAGAAAGGTGTTTTTGTTATCCTCATTTTGTAGAAGAGGAGACTGAGGCTGAAAAGTATCTGAGACAGGATTCAAACTGAGGCCTTTCTGGAAGAGTGAAATAAATTGCAATTGTTAGTTATTGGGATGTCTGCTTTACAGAAGTTTGTAGTATCACCATTTTAGAACTGGAAGAGTCTCCAGAAATTATATTGTCAAATTTCTTTCTGCCCTCTTGGAAGGTGGCAGTATTGAATTATTTCCAAAAATATTGTCTGAACTGGAGTACTGAGAATTTTCATAGATAAAGAAAGAAAGTCTCAGGATAAAAATTAGAATGGGAGCAAATTATTTAAATCTCTAGTGCAAGTTTCTTTAACTGTAAAATCAATATCTTCAAAGTCCCTCCCTTTTCCAAGATTCTGATGTATCATATACCATCCTGGAGTGATGTCCCTTCTTAATAGTATTATCTTGTCCTGACTGTTCACTGTAAGTGTCTTTTAAAAGGAATGAGTGAAATGGCCCAGTTTTTTAATGTTTCTTCTCTGTAGGCAACTAAGAAATGTCATTGATTTATATTTTGAGAGAAATTCTATATAGTTTGAAGATACAGCTCATACCATGAAATAATTCATTTGCTAGTCAGACTAAAGAATCAAATATATAGAAACATGCTTACTCAAAAGTTCACTCAGTGTTCAGTGCCTTGCTAAGTGAAATGTTTGTCCTAAAGTACTAAAATTAGAACAGTGTCTCTTTCAGAGAGAGAAAGAGAGAGAGAGAGAGAGAGAGAGAGAGAGTATAGAATTGCTTTGTGCATTTCCTGGATGATGCAGCATTGTATCAACGCAGTTAGCCACATTTATGTCGATTACTATATGTGCCAGCCCTTTTACAAACAATATTTACATGTGTACTACATACACGCACATGCATACACACTGACACATAATTGAGCTTGTAATCCGTCTAGGACTTAGAAGTACTAATGCGAAATTTGTCTAAAGTAACCAGGTAAGTCAGTGGAAGAGATTAGGTGCACAGTATATAGTAGTAAATGGCTATAGTAATCTAGTATTTGGTAAACCCAAAGTTCTAAGCTTTTGGGACAGGAATTCATTATTTGACAAAAATTGCTGGGAAAACTGGAAAGCAGTTTGGCAGAGATTAGGCATACCAACATAAATGGGTTTAGACATGATATAGACATGAAGGGTGATAACAAATAAATTAGGAAAGCATGGAGAAATTTACTTGTCAGATCTATGGATTAGGAAAGAGTTTATGACCAAACGAGATAGAGGGGATTATAGGAAGTAAAATGGATCATTTTGATTACATGAAAGTAAAAACTTCTAGGGGCATCTAGGTGGCGCAGTGGATAGAGCACCGGCCCTGAAGTCAGGAGTACCTGAGTTCAAATCCAGCCTCAGACCCAAATACTTGACACACTTACTAAGCGGTGTGACCCTGGGCAAGTCACTTAACCCCAATTGCCTAAAAAAAAACCAAAACAAAAAAAAACCCAACTTCTGCACAAACAGAACCAATGTGGCCAAAATTAGAGGGAAAGTAGAATACTGGGGATCTTTTTTTTTGTAGCAAGTTTCTCTTATATAAGCCTCATTTTTCCTCATTTCTTAAATATGTAGGGAACTGAGCCAAATTTATAAAAATAAGATCTGTTCTTCAGTTGATAAGTGATCAAAGTATATAACAGCTGGTTTTCAGAAGAAGAAAAAGATATCAACAGTCATGAAAAAATGCTCTAAATACTGATTAGAGAAATGCAAATCAAAACAACTCTAAGGTACCACTCACACCCATTAGATTGACTAACAAGACAGAAAAGGAAAATAACAAATACTGGAGGGGATGTGGAAGAATAGATACACTAATATACATGGTTGGTGGAGTAGTGGACTGCTTCAACCATTCTGGAGGACAATTGGGAACTATGCTTAAAGGGCTATGAAACTACATACCCTTTGACCCAGCACTACTGCTACTAGGTCTGTATCCCAAAGAGATCAGAGAAAAAAGAAAAGGATCTATATATAAAAATGTTTATAGTAGTTCTTTTTGTGGTGGCAAAGAATTGGAAATTGGCCCATCAGTTGGGGAATGGCTGAACAAGTTGTGGTATATGATTGTGATGGAACACAATAGTGCTATAAAAATGATGAGGAGGATTTTTTTTAGAACCAATGCAAAGTAAAATGTGTGAGAACGTTGTACTTAGTAACAGAAATATTTTAATAAAAATCAACTGTGAAAGACAGCTACTCTGAGCTATTGATTGGTGATCCAAGACAGTTGCAAAGGACTCATGATTAAAATTGCTCTCCACCTGCTGAGAGAACTGATTTGAGAGAAGATTGAAGCATATTTTTTTTACTTAGTTTATTTTTATGGTTTTTTTATTGGGGGGAGGGGCAACCTGACTAATATAGAAGTATATTTTGCTTGACTTCACATGTATGATTGATATATTGCTTGCCTCAATAGGTAGAGGAAGGATTGGGGGGAAGAGAAAGAACTTGGAACTCAAATTTTAAAAAAAGAATGTTAAAAATAAATAATTTTAAAAAAATTTTATAAAGGTGCAAATAAAAAATAAAGTGACCAGGTGATCTGAAGGTTACATGTTGGGAAATATTCCAAACTTTGTACATGGTATCATAGATGTTGTCCATATCCAAGAATGAATAAAAGTCAGCTGACAGATTATTATTCTTCCTCAGCATCATCAGCTGCTGCTTATGAGGTGTTTGTCTTTGTGATCCTGTTAGAGAAGCTGGCATGTGGTTTTTAAAAGGCTAATTTAGAGTATTAGCAAAAATTTACAGTTTTGAAAATGAGTTTTTTTAGTGAACTTAAAGCTATAGAAGTAGATCCAAAGCAGAACTTTTATGTTGTATTCGTTGAGATGTGCCTTAAAAAGTCTGACTTTTGGAGAAAAATCTTATGAATTCTTAGCTGCATGTTTCTTTTTTCCATTCAAAAAATTAGATGTGAAAATCACCACGAAAAGCTTAGTGTGTTCTGCTGGACTTGCAAGAAATGTATCTGCCATCAGTGTGCACTTTGGGGAGGAATGGTGAGTAGAACTATCAAGTATACTATTTTTCTTGTGTGTGTGTTTATGTGTTGTTTTGTCTCTCGTTTGATTGATAAACTTTGTGACCCAGTACCATGTATTATTAAGCACTTCCTAGTGGGCACTCACTGGAAAATCATAGATTAGTAGAACAGAGAATTGTCTTAGAGATTATGTAGTCCAAACCATTCATTTTATTTATTGATTAGTCTAGAAGTTAGTGTGTCCCCCATTTGCTAGAGCAACCTCAACTCTGTTATTATGAGAAGTGTTGGGGGAAAAGCACTAGACTTGGAATCCGAGAACCCAAGCCTTTGCTCTGAAACTACTTGAGTGACCTGCAAAATAGTTTTCATTGTTTGAGTCTGTGTGCTGTCTGGGCACACTAAAAGGTTAAGTGATTTGACCATGGTTACATAAACATCTAATATGTGTCAGAGGTAGAATTTGATCCCATATCTCATCCTGAGGTCAGCTTCTGTGTATTATGGTAGGCTGCTTCTAGTGTATATAGTGCCTTCCTATCTATGACAGAGAGAGAGTGTGTGTGTGTATTTGAGTGTCTGATTATTTTGGAAAGCTTATTTGACCGTAGTAATTGTATTCCATCAAAAAACCTTAAATTTTAGGAAGACCAAGTAATGTTATGTTCCATGAGACCCTCCTGTAATTTGAATATTAATGTGCTGAACTAGGAAAACTCAAGTTCCTCCAACTTGGTACTTAAGTGTGCCACCATCCTTTCCTGTCTTTTCTTGATTGGAAACATTAAATCTCACTTTCTACAGTTTCCTCTTAAAGTTTGTGACTAAGTGTGTTCACTGAAGCAGGCTATTCCTTTTATTTTTCTTCTCAGTAGAATGCCATACAGAAGCTCATTGTAACAGAAATCTAATCATTCCAATTTCTAATTAAGAGCTAGAATTTGAGAAGAAGTTGTTTTGAATTTTAACTAAAAAACTGGTTGTGTGAGTACAAATGGATGATTTTTATAGACCTCCCCTCCTTTTTTTACAGGCAAAAGTGACATTCTAAATTGATTATAAATTTGAATGAATACTCGATTTCCAAAAATGGTATGAGAAAAGCTCTTGCTTAAGTTAATCTTGTGCACTGGGGTTCTTGCTGATGATCTGGGCACATGTGAAGATGTTAAGGTATTTTGGTAAAATCCAGGCCTGCTGAAGTCATTCATATAGGAGCCTTGATGCAGATAAGGTGAATTTTTAAGAAAATTCTACCAGCTTTAATAACATTAAAGAAATCTACAAGGCTAAAATTTAGTTTTCAGTATGTTCTAACTTATGTCCAAAGGATGATCATACAGAACCTAAAATGGTCTAAAGATACTTTTCTTATTTGATTTAAATAGCATGGTGGACACACTTTTAAGCCTTTGGCGGAAATTTATGAGCAACATGTCACTAAAGTGAATGAAGAGGTAGCAAAACTTCGTCGACGACTCATGGAATTAATAAGCTTGGTTCAAGAAGTGGTAAGGATAGCCCTAAAAAGTCTTTACATTCATTTATCTTCTACATAGTGGCCGAAGTGATAGGACTTTCCATGTCATTCCTTTGTTTAATAAAAACCTTTGGCTCCCTATTACCTCTAGGATGAAATATGCATTCTCCTGTTTGGCTAAGCCCTTCACAGTTTGGCTTCGGTTTTTATACTTTATTCTACTTCATGTACTCTCTGGTACAGGCATAGACATATGGTCCTGCAGAACTACAGTTATAGTCCTCATTTACTTACCCTTATTATACCTATATTTCAACTCCCGTCTCCATTCCTTTGCACAGGCTATTCTTCATTCCTGTAATGTACTTCCTCCTTATGCCTTTTAGAATCTCTAGTTTACTTCAGAGCACAAGCCTTACCTTTTTTGTGACACCTTTCCAGATCTCCTTCTGTCGTTGTTAGTCCCTTTTTCCCTAAATCACCTTCTTTTTATTTTCTATGGTTTTTGGTTGTTTTTTTTTTTCTCAATAGAATGGAAGCTTTTTGTAAGGTAGGGACTATTTAATTTTTTTTTTATCTTTGAATTCCGAGTGTGTAGAACAATGTGTTATATTGGTGCTTAATAAAAGCTGATTTGATTGTTAAATTCTTATTCATCTTTACATTCCAAGTGTCTTCACATACAGATTAAATTTCTATGGACTGAAATTTTAAAGCTCTTGAAGATGCACATTATAATCTATAAATATTTCTTAATTTATGAACTCTTTAATTTTATGGAAATACAAAGAGGCAGCAATTGTATTGAAATCTCTAGCCTCCATCCTTCCATATGAACAATTGTCTTTTCTTTTCCTAGTCTAGTAAGTGGGAAGTGGTGATTGAATGTTTAAAAATTCAAATAATTAGCTGTTGGTTCCCATAGCTATCCCTCACCTCTTTTCTTCCATAGCTGCTGAGGGAATAACTGATTTTGTGGTAAGGAGATATACTTTGGCTCTTCTGAGTTAGAACATAATGCCTTAAAAAGTACTATACTTTATGCACTAAATCTGGTTAATTGGGGCAGTGGATAGAGTACTAGGCCTGGAGTCAGGAAGACCTTAAGTTCAAATATGGTCTTAAATACTTGCTAGCTGTGTAATGGTGAATGAGTCACTTAATCTCTATTTGCCTCAGTTTCTTCAACTGTAGAATGAACACAATAACAGCACCAGCGTGAAGAATTGTTGTGAGGATAATGAGATAATGTTTATAAAGCAGTTTAGCACAATGCTTGGCACATAGTAGATGCTATGTAAATGCTAATTTTCCCCTTCCAGTCTTCCCTACCCCCCCAAAAATCCCTACTCTGATCAGTCAACAAACATTTATTAAGTGCATTCTATATTTGGGAGATACAGAGTCAGAAGTGAAATTTCTCATCCAGGATAAAGGTAACCCTAGATTCTCAAAGAATAGGCAGGTATTACTAATTTGAAAGACTCAATATGGCACTTTTTAATTTGTAACTTTTAATTTATGAAATAAAACAAACATTTCCATACCAATACAGTAAAAAAAATTGCATATGAAACTGCTGATCAACTCTTAACAGGATTTTACTGAGCCAGTCTCTAACTTGAGAATGACAAAACAGCAGGCCAGAGACAAAGTGCCAGTAATCAGGTAGTCCTTTAATTAATTAGTTTCATTATGAGGAACAGATTTTCTGATCAGAATTCTGCCTGGTTGAAGTGAAGACAGATTATATACATAAATCACAAGTGGGAAGGGAGGGGGACAGGTGGATTACAAACAGTTGTTGCCAGGGCCAGAGTGGTTTCCCACAACAATTCCACAAATGGAAGACAATACAACAATTCTGGAGTCCTTTGGGAGCAATACTGCTCAAGTCCTTGGTGGTCGGTTACTCTTAGTGGGTCACCACAGGATCCAGAGTTCTGTGATAGGAACAGGTTCTGCAGTCTTTGATTCACTTCAAGTACTCAGGCAGGAACATGCCAGTGATTGTGAGTCTTGTCAAGCTTTGATTGATCAGTTCAAGCTGCATTGTGAGTTTGACTCACAAGTTGGAAAAGGCAATTCTGAAAAATCTGTTAGTATATTCATTATACATATCATATCTATTATTATGAAGATCATAATTCCCTCTGTTCTGTTGTGTACAGCTTGCTATTCCTTTCAAATATACAGCAAAATTATCATGTAAATTTCTTTTTTTTTCTTCCCTATCCCGACCCCCTGCCCTAGAGATGGCTACCATTAGACACAAATAGGTATATGTGTGTATATATGTGTGTGTGTGTGTGTGTGTGTGTGTGTGTGTGTGTGTGTATATATGCATATATATATGTGAAATTATTCCATACATACTTATATTTATCAGCTTTTTCTCTGAAGGCAGATAGAGTCTTTCTATAAAGAAAGACATATAAATGTCCTTTATAGTTAATTTAGATATTTATTTATATTAGAATAACTCATTCGCTCAAAGTTGTTCTTAAAATGGTATTGCAGTTAGTGAATGCAGTGTTCTTTGGGTTCTGTTCATTTCACTCTTTATTATTTTGTGCAGGTCTTTCCATGTTTTTTTTTTCCCTTAATAGCATTTAATTTTTTTCCCCCAATTACATGTAAAGATAGTTTTCAATTTTCTTTTTTTTTTTTGGTGAGGCAATCGGGGTTAAGTGACTTGCCCAAGGTCACACAGCTAGTATGTGTCAAGTGTTTGGTCTGAGGCTGGATTTGAACTCAGGTCCTCCTGACTTCAGGGCCGGTACTATATCCCCTGTACCACCTAGCTGCCCCTTCAATTTTCATTTTTGTAAAATTTTGAGTTCCAAGTTTTTCTCCCTGCCTCCCTAAGATAGCAAGCAGTGTGATATAGGTTATACATGTACAATCATATATTTCCTCATTATTCATGTTATGAAAAAAGAATCAGAAAAAAAGGGAAAAGCCATGAGAAAGGAAAAACAATAAACAAAAAAGTGAAAAGTATGCTTTCATCTGCATTTCAGACTCCATAGTTCTTTCTATAGTTATGGTTAGCATTTTCCATCACAGGTCTTTTGGAATTGTCATAGATCATTGTATTGCTGAGAAGAGCTAAGTCTATAGTTATAGTTAATCATCACACACTATTGCTGTTGCTGTGTACAGTGTTTTGGTACACTTCACTCAGCATCAGTTCATGTAAGTCTTTCCAGGTTTTTCTAAAATCTATCTGCTCATCATTTCTTACAGAATAATAGTATTCTGTTACATTCATGCACCACAGCTTGTTCAGCCATTCCCCAATTGATGGGCATCCCCTCAGTTTCCAGTTCATTGCCACTACAAAAAGAGCTGCTAAAAATATTTTTGTACATGTGGGTCCTTTTCCGTTTTTTATGATCTTTTTGGGATTCAGACCTAGTAGTAGTATTCCTGAATCAAAGGGTATGTACAGTTTCATAGTCCTTTGGGCCCAGTTCCAAATTGTTCTTCAGAATGGTTGGATCATTTCACATCTCCATTATGTCCCAGTTTTCACATATCTTCTCCAACATTTATCATTTTCCTTTTCTGTCTTATTAGCCAGTCGGATAGGTGTGAGATTACCTCAGAGTTGTTTTAATTTGCATTTCTGTAATCAATAGTGATTTAGAGCATTTTTTCATGATTATAGATAGCCTTAATTTTTTCATCTGAAAACTGCCTATATTCTTTGACCATTTCTCAATTGGGGAATGACTTATATTCTTATAAATTTGACTCATTTCTCTATATAGTTTAGAAATGAGGCCTTTGTCAGAAATACTGGCTATAAAAATGGTTTCCCAACTTTCTGCTTTCCTTCTAATCTTGGTTGCATTGTTTTTGTTTGTATAAGGCCTTTTTAATTTAATGTTGTCAAAATTGTCCATTTTGCATTTCATAATGTTCTCTGTCTCTTGTTTGTTCATAAATTCTTCCCTTCTCCATAGATCTGACAGGTAAACTATTCCCTGCTCTTCTAATTTGCTTATGGTATCATCATCCCTTATGTCTAAATCATGTACCCATTTCAATCTTATCTTGGAATATGGTGTGAGATATTGGTCTGTACTCTATTTTTACTATTTCCTATTTCCATACTATTTTTCCATTTTCCTAGCAGTTTTTGTCAAATAGTTCTTATCCCAGAAGCTGGAGTCTCTGGGTTTATCAAACATTAGATTACTATAGTCATTTACTACTGTGTTTTGTATACCCCACCTGTTCCATTGATCTACCACTCTATCTCTTAGCTAGTATTGAATAATTTTGATGATTGGTGCTTTAAAATATAGTTTTAGATCCAGTATGGCTAAGTCACCTTCCTTTGCATTTTTTTCATTAATTTCTTTGGTATTCTGGGCCTTTTGTTCTTTCAGATGAATTGTGTTATTAGTTTTTCTAGCTCTATAAAATAATTTTTTGGTAGTTTGATTGTTATGGCACTAAATAAGTAAATTAATTTAGGTAGAATTGTTATTTTTATTATATTAGCTCAGCCTACCCACGAGCAATTGATATTTTTCCAGTTGTTTAAATCTGACTTTATTTATGTGAAAAGTGTTTTATAATTGTTGTTCATCTAGTTCCTGAATTTGGTAGACTCCCAAATATTTTCTGTTATCTATAGTTATTTTAAATAGAATTTCTCTTATCTTGCTGCTGGCTTTGTTGGTAGTATGTAGAAATGCTGATGATTTATGTAGGTTTATTTTATATCCTGCAACTTTGCTAAAGTTATTGTTTCAAGTAGTTTTTTAGTTGATTTAGTATGATACCATCATATCATCTGCAAGGAGTGATAGTTTTATTTCCTCATTGCCTTTTCTGATTCTTTCGATTTCTTTTTCTTTGCTTATTGTTAAAGCTAACATTCTAGTACAATATTGAATAATAGTGGTGATAATGGGCATTGTTGTTTGACCCTTGAACTTATTAGTAATGCTTCTAGCTTATCTCCATTACAGATAATGCTTGCCGATGGCTTTAGATAGATACTGCTGATCATTT